GGTGGAGGCAGGAGAAAATTAGGAGATAAAGAGGAAATCTTGAAAACCAGGAGATAAAAGCCTATCAAGAAGACCATGCTTTATTGGTCTTTTATGATGATCTAAGCCAGCGACTCTTAAATCCTAGCATGCATCAAAATCACCTGGAGGGTTTGTTAAACACGGATTGTTGGACTTCGTCCCAGAGTATCTAGGTCTGGGATGTAACCTGAGAACATGCATCCTTAACAGGTTTCTAGGTGATGTTAATGCTGCTGATCCAAGGACCAAAGTTTGAGAACCATTGGTTCCTGTCTGTGTTGTCCCACTCGAAATGTAAACAATGTGTGTTTAAATATAAAGAATATGTTTGATTGTATAACAGTCAATTTAAATGGTAGGTTTTATTTTTATGAATAAGTAATCATAATTGTTTTCAAAATTCTTATTCCAAATAGTAAGGATCAAGCCATAGGGTTTTAAGTTCAGTCTTATATAGATTATCACAATACATTTTTTGTTTGTTTTAGAACTTTAAAATCTTATTTTATGATTAAAATTAAAAGGTTTTTTTTTAAGAGACTTAATATTTTTACATGTGAGGTTTAAGGAAAATTTTATCATTGTTTAATTTATATTAAATTCCAGTATTTGTTTCTCTAAAAATACTTATATTTTATTTATATTATTTATATGAATTTATATTTTTAAACAGTTTTAAAACACTTTCTGAATTGGTAGCTTTATATACAACATGGTATTTTGAGAGTATGATCCAAGAAGTGTCATCCCTCAGTACATGTTACAAGAAAAAGGTGTTGGAGATTTTAGGAGGCTAAGATACAATATTCAAACAACAGAATAAAACCTGGTAGCCAGGGACTTAAGTAACAGACCTGTTAATTTTTTACTCTGGTCTTCACTTCATTGTTCAGTACACTTTTTCTAAATTGCTTGAGCTGAACTAACTTTTCCTTCCTTTCCTTTATGCCTCATTTACAGCATTTCCACTGTTTCTGTGTTGATTTATATCCATGGCTGCTCTTTCAATTTAGCGCACTGTAGTAAGAATAATGAACGTCCTTCCAGTGCAGGACGTCTTTCTTGCTCTTGCCGCATCATATTGTCAGCTCCTCCAGATGAAGAGAGTTTGGGTCATCCTTGCAGCGTGTAGAGCACCCAGCCAAGTGCTTTTCACTTTTGTAGGTGCCCAATATACGTTGGAGTGACAAACCTTAATTTTAAAAATCTTGAATATTGGAGAAACGCTTTTTCCTCCTCTCTTGTCATAATCCACTGTGGGTGAAAGAAATCACCCCCCACTCACACACACACGCACACTTTCAGCGCCTTCTGTTTACTCTGTATTCCCTCCTCTGCATAGGAGTTGTGGCTTGTTGATTGAATTTTCCTGGGCTGCTCTTCTTGTGGTAGCCACACTCGTCTCTGTGCCCCTGCTGATGAGCTGGCTAAGGCAGGCCCACTGTTCTCCTCTTGGTTGTGGTCCCTGTCCATGATGCTACCGGTTGGCTTCTTTGCCAGAGCTTCTGTGTGTCTCCTCCCCATGAGTATGCAGTACCGTGGTCTAGATTTAGAATGGGAGAATTTGAACAGTGCTTTCCCTGGGGAGCATTTCCTCTTCCTCAGATTAGGTTAGGTTCCCTTCAAGTAACACCCATACTTATCCCTTATTGTGTTCATTATAATTATTTTAAAATAATAGCAGTAGCTAAGGTTTCTTGCTCTCTTATTATATGTTATATAAACACTTCACATGCATTTTTTCATGAATTCTTCACAGTTCCCTTTTTACACACCAAATAATTGAATCTCAGAGATAAATAACTTGCCTTAGGTCACACAGCTGGTAAGTGGTAGGATCCAGGTTGTCTGATCCCAGAGCCAGTAAGCTCTTACCTTTCATGCTTCACAGCCAGTGGAGGAAGTTGGGAACATTAATTCTTATCCCTGGATAAAGTTCAAAGAGGTTATAATATGTTGGGGTCAGGAATAGGAACCTCTCGCAGCTGATAATTTGGAAAGAGATAGCTTTCTTGGTCCTCTGGGCTATGTATTAGAGAGCTTTCTTCAGTGTTCCCAAAGCATGCTGCGTCCACTCCTCGTGGTGGCCCCTGTGAGGAACTCCAGAAGGGAAGAAAGGAAGGACAGCGTGCATCTGAACCACTTGAGCCACTGGCCACATTTTTTTAAACTGGGAAGGCTAATTTCAGAGCCATGCTTTTATATTTTTTATCAAGGCAGTACATCTCTTAGTAAATAACACATTAAATAATAAAGAAGAGCTTGTAATGAAAAGTGGCAGTTTCCCACCCCACCACTCCCTGCCACCAGAATGGAGGCAGTTTTGGGGTCTGTTTCTGTTTGTCCTTCTAGTTGTAATTGCCCAGAAAAGGGTGATGACAGGTAAGTTTTTTGAATTCTTGTCAGTCTGACTATGTCTTTAATTCAGCCCTTTTTACTGAAATACAACTTAGTTGTGTATAGAATTAGAGATTAAAAATTACTTTTCAGAGAGTTGGAACCTCTAATATTCTATTCATTTTATTGTAGGTGAGTTTCTTTTCTCTCTCTTTCTCTCTGATAGCTTTTAGTATTTTTTTCTTGATGTTTCAGAATTCCCTATTGAGGTTTCTAGGTGTGAGTTCTTTTTCATTGTGCATTGGGTAGTTTGTGAGCCTTTCAGTGTGAAGGTTTGCGTGTTTCTCAGCTATGACTGATATTGCCATTTCTTTAATAATTTTCACCTCTTCGTTTTCTCTATTGTCTTTTTCTTTACTTTCCAATTACTCAAGTACTTAGCCTCTTAGATTGGCCCTTTATGTCTCTCATTGTTTCTCTAATGTTTTCTATATTCTTGTCTTTTTTGCTTTACCATCTGAAATACTTCCTTTCCCCCATTTATTTTATTTTATTTTTTATTTTTTAAATTATATTTTTAATCTTTAAGAGCTCTCTGTGTTCTGTTTTTTTTCCTCCATATCCTCCTGTTATAGGGTTTTACATAATTATATTTCTCTTCTTTAGCTTCAATTACTCTGTTTCCTCTGAGATTAGCTTTTCTTTGTACTTTTACTTTCTGAGTTTTTCTTATGGGCCTGATGATTTTTATCTATTCATATCTTAAATAGGAAGCCTATATAACTGTTGTGGGTGTCCAGTTCTGAGTAGTCAGAACTGTGTTCAAGCCTGCTCTTTTCCCTGAGTAGGAGTCCCGCTGGGAACTTTATATATAGTAGGGCAGGGCTGGGTAGATTTGATAGCGGACACAGGGTCTGAGGTGCCTGTCACTACTTGAGCCAAATTAAGCAGAGACAGGGTTGAATCACATATGAGCTTTATTCCAATAATGCTGGCAGTGTGGGGAGAGCAGTCGGTCACCCTGGGAATTCTGCTCTGACCCCCTCGCCAGTTGGCTGATTATGTACCAGGGAGGGAGACGATACCCACAGGCAGCTGCGAGCTACAAGTGTAACAGGGAAAGGGGAGGGCAGGGCCTGCAGTCCGGCTTCAGGAGCTCCAAGTCCCATAACCAGGAGGCTGATCTTCTGTGATACAAACAGCTCAGCCCATTCCTGGGACCGGAGAATGGTCAGTGTTCCTGAGGCAAACTCCCAGAGCGGGTCAGGGTCTGGGCACAGCAACGAAATCAAAGTGTGTCCTGTCCTTGGCCTGTTCTCAAAATCTATTTCTTTCCTGAGTAATGGACCCACCGAGGCATCTTACTGTTTTACAGCTTTGTCTCATCCTCCAGTTCCCCAGGGCCTGTGAGAAAACTTCTGATCTATAGTTAGTAAGGCAGATGATTATTAAACAACTGTGGCTCTATTCTTATTACATGCCCTTTCCCACTGTCAGATTTACTGGCAGCCTTTACTTTATGGGGACAGGTCCCCAAATTCCCAGAAGGAGATAGATTTTAGTATGTGGTGCCCACATTCACCTTAGAAGCCTTAGCTTTTCTAATTTATTATTTTTTTATGTTTGCTCAAATTTGGGGGGAGCTTAGTTTGCTTAATTCTCTTAGTAAGGAATCCTAAGAGTTTTTATATTCTTTTTGTCTGCTGGAAAATTCTGGCAGCCTGTACTCTAACTGCTGATGAGGGATCATGGTAGAGGGGGATGTGCAGACCAGTATAGTTTGTCCCATATGTGGACCTTCAGCTAATCTATCATTTTTCAGCCCCATTTCTCGATCCTGCTCTCGTGCTGTACCTGCTGATTCTAAGCAGTCACCATCTTATCTAATACTCCTGCCTCCTTTGTGGTCCTTATGCTTTATTAATGCCTTTGCATTTTTCTGTCAACCTACCCCCATTTACTGTCTGTCATCTAGTGTAGTGGTTGGGAAACTAGAGCCCATGGAGAATGGAATACTGGCATCTCCCGAAGGAAGGGAGGAGGAGGTGTTCTTGGCATTTTGAGAGTATCGAGCTCTTGAGTGATGTAGTGATAAAGGAAAGTCCTTGGCCTCTGACGTAAGATTTCGCAGGGCTGGGATTCGGGAATGTGAAGTGCCTCCCATGTGTCCTTTTTCTTCTTCCCTTTTTACTTTTTCTCAGTGTGTATATGCTTATGAAAAAAACTCCACTTTTTCTCAAGCACATTGTCTTCTGTTTCATTATACCTAAACATTTTTGAAGAAGTTATTTTAAGTGGAATCTCCAAGAAATGAGGAACTGTGTTTTATGTTTATACAGTGTCATTTGTATAACAGTATAGGATCCTATGAATATTTCACAAACAGTAAAAATAATGATGTAAAAAGTCTTTGTAGGTATTTATATCAGTGCTAATAGTCCTTTCCAAGATGATACAACTGTTCTATCTTGCTGTCAAAAAAAGTAGCCACTAGCCACAAATGACTATTGAGCCCTTGAAATATGGGCTCAGGAATGTAGTATTTCATTTAAAAAAATATTTTGGTAAAGAGTCGTTATTGTCACTTTATAGTTATAGACTAACAGATTTTAATTTTTTTCTACTTAATTTTTTCTTTCCAGGTAAATATATGCAGATGATGAACATTCTCAAGCCAATTGCCTTTGATGTCATTCATTTCATGTCTCAGCTATTTGATTATTACTTATACGCAGTATATACCTTTTTTGGTCGGAATGATTCAGTAAGTCGGCCTTTGAGGAGAAAGTCTGTTTCTTTTAAAATCTGTTTATTTTTTAAATGTAAAGTTCAGTTCATTTCCTCTGTATAAAATACACAAATAGCATTATTTTGAAAATTATCCATCAAAATCCCAACAAAATTATTGATATCAGCTTTCTGCCTGCCTAATTGGCTTATTTATATGTTAATTTTAAGCTTTGATATGATAAACATATTGTAGGTTATTCAAATTTTTGGCAGAAAAAGTACAGCATCTGTTTCTAACCTTGACGTATTTTGGCAATGAAAAATATGCAGGTTGCCTGGTTTAAATCTGGCCCAGTGTATAATTACCACATAGTAAATGAGACGTTTTAAATATTGGCTAACAACTGTAGCAGGCACTACTACATTCAGCAGATAATGGCAAATATTTATTAAAATAATTGAAAATCTTTGAACTAAACCATCTGCCTGCCACAAATTAATGTTTCTGCACCTCCTTCTTGTGTTCCGAAGCTCTTATTGAGTTTGCCTTTTTCTACTCCTATGGAGTACACCACAGTATTTGGCAGGTAACCGACCTAATATCGGGAGTTACTGTGTGGTTCACCTAGATATTTGGTAGTTTTCTGTGCAAAAGCATACTGCTTGGTTATATAAATATATCCTAATACTTTTCAAACACTGTATTTTCTGCCTTTTTAAAATGTGAATTTTAATGGATAACTGCATTCATCATGTAAATGTTCATATCTTTCCTGTGATTATAAGTATATGAAAGACATGATCTTTTAATATGGGATCTGAATTTCCTGTGTTCTTAATTCTCCAAAATATTCCTTAGAAATAATTCTAATATAATCAGAGACAGAGTGTTGATACAGAACTTATGTTACTCTAAAATATGTACTAGTTCCTCACTGTGAATTTGTAAACTCAATATGTAAATATTAAAGAAGAAAGACATTCTAGAATTTTAGCTAATTGTCACTCTTTCAGTCTTCTAGATGAGCCAAATTGCCTTGTTAGCTGTTGAGTCTTAGGTGGGTGGGAGTAGAGGGAGAATCAGGCAATTAGTAGAAAAGTAAGAACAGACAGGATACATGTTTGCTCCTGCTTCTTTCCCAGAAGAAAGACACTATATGAGTGAATTTAGATAAGATGCTGCTCGTGGAGGAATCTGTTTCTCAGAGGTTCTAGAAAGTCATTGGCTGGGGGCCATAGTGTATGCATTAAGCTAAGGGGTTCCTTCTCTTCACAGTAATTCCTCCAGAAGCTCCTGCTCTACACTGAACATCATGCTCAATTACATATCTAATCCATTTGATCCTATGTTAATAATGTTACTCGTAGGATTGCTTTACCTTGCCTTGCCCCCAGCCTTCCATTGTTCACCTCTTGAGTTATATTTTCCTTGGTTCTTCCTGTTCATATTCTCCTGTGAAGACCATTCTGTAACTTACCTTAACAGAGTAGTAAGCACATAGTTGATGTGGATCGATGTCCTAATTATTGCTTACCCAGTAAATCTTATGAGGATTCCTACTTGACAGCAGTTTATGAGCCTCATTTAAAGCTACCGTTCCTTCATGAAACTGTGTCTTTGTAGAGAGTCTGTGATTCAGTATTTCAACTTTTAAGAATAAATTAACTTACATTCATGGGTATGGTGTACTAAGACCTTCCTGATGATACTTGCTGCAGAAAACAATGATAAAACCTGGATAGTATACTAAAGGCAACTACCTGAAGATACTGGAGAGAAACAGGTGCTTAAAGACTCTGATGGGGAGCTCATGCTAGCATGCAGGTTGGGGAAAGGGAAGCTATAAAAATAAATTACACCTCTGTGACCTTTACCCCAGGACTAAGTGCGGTCCACATGGCACAGAAGTGGAAGCAAATGTAGTAAAATCTGCAATCTTTATGGATTATGGAACCAGAAAAGTGAAACCAAGAAACTGGGAATAGTGAAAAGAATAGGGGGAAGTTCAGAGGGAAAGAGCCAAAGAGAGGATCCCCAAATTCTATCTACTCCTATCTCTGACTAATGCATGAACCATGTTTATATGGAATAGACTGGCTGCAGCCAGGCAAGAAAAAATATATGAACAGAGACTGAATTTGCTCCACAAGAGATAGTTTGTAGTTAAGCCCAACCAAGAAAATTACATACTGAGAACAAAAGAAACAGTACTCATTGGAGAAAAATAACAGAATCCAGAATCTCCAGAATCAAATTGGTAAAAAGAAAATCAATCTAATCTGACTCCAAGGTGTTGGAACTAAGGGATAAGGATTTTAAATGGACAGTTTTAACCATCTTCAATAAAGTAAAGCAAAACATGTTTTAAATGCATGACTAAGTTTTATAAGTTCATCAATTCATCTTCTCTTTCGGAATGTTTAAATGGAGTTCAGAAACCCTCCAAAGGCTAAATATCTGAGAGAAAGCTCATCAGATGCTTCACTTTGGTTAATTTGAATTGTGACATTTGCAAGATTATCTCCACAGCAATTTATGCCTTTCTTTTTCTTTTTCAGTTGGAATCAACGGGACTAGGCCTTAGCAGTAGTAGACTAAGAACAACTCTAAACAGAATACAAGAGAGCCTTATTGATATGGTAAGTAATCCATTGGAGTCAATTATTTGGGGTCATTGAAAATAGAAATTAGCCATCTAATTAACTACATATAAGTGTATGTCTATATGTATACTGAGTGCCTGAGTCTTAGTATTACACTAAGTGCTCAGAGGAAGTAACAAGGAGATTTCTTTGTTTTTTTTTAATAACTTTCTTGTGAATTTGGTTGTTTGTTTTTTTAATATATCTTTCTTGATTTCAGAGAGAGGCAGGAAGAGGGAGAGAGAGAGATAGAAACATCAGTGATGAGTCATTAATCGGCTGCCTCATGCATGCCCCCTGTTGGGGATCGAGCCCACAACCCGGGCATATGCCCTGACCAGGAATCGAACTGCAATTGTTTGGATCATAGGTCGATGCTCAACTGCTGAGCCATGCTGGCCGGGCAACATGGAGGTTTCTTGTAGTCTCATTGGAGAGAGAGAGCTAGTACACATGGAAGAAAATGATATTGGCTATATATCCAGTACAAGTTCAAAGAGAGGAAAGGTGTATGTGCATATTTCAGGTCAGAGAATGACTAAAGGAGGAAGTGAGACTCGTGCTAGACCTTGATGAGCAGGCATGGGCTTTGTGGGAAAAAGAAGAAAGACAGGCATTCCGATTTAGGTTAAGAGGCTGAGCAAGGGCCTTGAGGTGGGAGCAAGCCTGGTTCGAAGCGTGGCAGGTCTTTGTGATGGGGCACTGGTATATGCTGAAGAGTTGTGTTGCAGTGTTTAGGACCACTTTATAAATGGCCTTGAAATTCAAGTGTGGGTTTAGTTGGCTGTGCAGTAAGAAGTCTGGATTCCTCACTATGACACCTAATGAAATGCATGCTTTAAGAAGATAGGTTGCAAAACAGGGCTGACGCTCTGTAGTGTTTAAGCTAACGTAAGCATTAAAATAACTTTTTTTCTTGTGGTTGGTTACTGCAGCCAGAGATTTTTGTTCAGTGGGTTTCTCTGCACCTACACTAACCCCAAGATTCTCTGAATTTTCCTTTGTTCCTACACCTACCTAAACAAGCAATCATTCTCTCTTTTCTTATAAATTTCTTATATAATTATTTCTTATTGAAATAATTATTATATGCCAGGAATTTTTGTAGTGCTGGGAATTCATCAGTGGACAAAAGAAAAAAATAACTCCTGTCTTCTTGGAACTTGTATTTTATTGGGGCAGAGAAGCAGATAAACAAATATATAATATAGTGTCACATGGTTATAAGTGCTAAGAAGAAAATGAAGCAGGGTGATAGGATGGTGATCTTTGTACAGAGAGGTGAATAGAGTGAGAGGCATGTTCCCGTGTCTCATGTGAGCGCAGGAAATAACCTGTATCTGTCTCACCATCTCCCTTACCATTTGCACATCTTTTTACCTTGCACATATTTGTAAATATGTACATATGGAAATATATATATGTGTGTGTGTTTTTCATAGCACTTACTTTGGCACACAGCATTTCCTCAGTAAATGTTTGTACAGAATATGCATAAACTCTAGTCTGTGAGTTTCGTGTCTCCTGGCTTGTTTCCTTGCCTTATCCATTTAATCCTGACCTTCATTTTCAGAGTCAAAGCTCCTTGTTTGACCCAGCAATCTTTTTTTTTGTCTTTGAAAGTCCATTGGCTTTCAACCCCATTGGAAGTGATCTATGTTTCGATTTCGCTTCTCCTTGTTTGATACCCAGTATAACCTTTACCATTGGATCTTAGTCTCTTGCTGAAGTTTTTCTTGTTTCTCCCTGAATGCCTCAAGATTGATGGCCTATAATTTACCATTAGTGTCATTCATTTTGATGTTTTTCTGTCATCTCTACTAGTGACTAGCTTATGATGGTCAAACCCCAGTTCCAGATTTGACCCTTAAGGCATGGATTTAATGCTTCTGATTTTGCCATCCAGTGTATAATGAAATAGCATGACTGAGTGAACAGTGGGACCACACTAGGGGTTCTCTGAGACAGGCTGCCACCCAATTGCTGATAACAATGTATCTGTAGTATCTGTCTGACTAGTTTGATGTTCATTGTATTAATGTTTTCCTGAACTGATGTAGTAGTCAGATTTAGAAATGTGTTTTTAAAAAGCAGCTGACATCCCTTCCCAATAAATAAATATGCCTGTTTTTTTCTTTGGCACCTTGTCTTGAAGATATCTTTTCTTTACGTCTTTATTCTTCCCATCTCTTAAAGACAGCACCTTGGATCAGAAGACTGCGGTGATTCCTGTTCATAAGGGTTTGAAAGGTGTACTGACCTTTGACAGGGCCTCTCCATGGTCCTTTACTCCTTTGGAGGATTAGCATCTACAGCAGCAATTTTCAACCATTCTCCTCATGGCACACGTAAACTCATTACTAAAATTCTGTGGCACACCGAAGAGTATATTCTTTGCCAACCTGACAAAAAAAATAGGTATAATTTTGATTCATTCACACTGGATGGTTATTGTTGTCATTTTTTTATTTGACAATCTAAGGGAAAGAGGTCACTGCCCCTGACTAAATAGTCAGGTACTGCATGTTGTAAATAATATTGCTGCACCCCGGTTGAAAATTGCTGCTCTTCAGCAGTGTGTTAGAAGTTTTTGTGAAAATTTCCATTAGTTTCCAGTGTTTTACATATTAAATTATACTCAAACTGGTAAGCATTAGGTTTAGTGTTGTAGAAAATACATTTGTCAGTTATTAGACCTTGAGCTCAGGTTTTTGTAAGCTGGCGTATTCCTTGTTTTCAGTAAGTTGCATCTGGATCGGCAGAGAACGTTCATTGGTCTCGTTATTTGTTGCATTTCCTTGCTGTTAATGTACAGCCTAATCAATCTGGCCCCACTAGGTCGAAGTAGTGTTTTTCCTTATATTTCTCATACGTGTTGGTCAAAATTTTTATGAGCACTTTTTTAGTAATTTTATTTTCTCCATATTTATCTTCTAAGTTTTGCTTAGCTGTAAAAAGCAAATTAAACCATTATGGTCTTAAAGATGCCACCTGGAATCATTTATCAGATAAATGGTTCAATGTAAACTAAGAAAATTTGCTTGACACATCAAATAAAAGTCTAAGAAAAGGGGTCTGATAGGAGAAGAGCAGGAAAGGAAGCTGGTATAGGTGATAATAGCACCAAAAATGTGGCTTTTTCACTGTTCACTTGGTGATGATAATTGTTTGCTTAAGACTTTTGGCCAACTGTAAACCTTTGATAATAAAAATATATTTTAAATTGGTCCAGAAAAAGTCCATAAATATGAATTCTCTTAGTAAAAATTGGTGGCAGGAAAGACTAAAAAAACATGACTTTCACTGTGAGAATGAAGATTGATCAGGGTTTTATTCCTGGGCGTCTTCAGAAGGCTTTATACCCTTTTCTGACTTTACTGGTGTAACGAACACTGGTCCATTTCAGTGAGCAATAAACACATGCCATTTACTTATGTCAGCTTGACACTTTTGTGACTCTCTTGCTCTCTTCAGGCATTATTTCCCTAAATGTAAACAGAACTTTAGCCTTTAAGCAGATAATTACCATAATTTTTATGTCTAAAATACCAGTGTTTACTGGAACATAGGAAGGCATCCTAATGGGAACCTTTTGAAGTGAGGGCAACAATCCCGTTGTCCTCTGCAGGAATGTTGTGAAAGAGCCGTGTGAGTAAAGGCGGGACTCAGCACATTTGAATTGGAGGTAGGTCAGGTGGCCGTTAGGTACATTGGTACCTCTGTCTTCGAATGTACTCCGTTCCGGAGGCCCGTTTCAGTTCTGAAACATTCAAGAAAACCGAGGGATCCACAGCGGACAGCTGGGCCTCAGGATCTTGCCCTCAGCGGAAGCTGTGTGGCACGTTCCACTTCCGAGGGGTGTTCGGAAACTGAAGCATTTCCTTCGGGTTTATAGCGATCGTAACCCGAAATGGTCTTCAACGGAGACGTTCGAAAACCGAAGTACCACTGTAAGTGCTTTTGGCCTCCCCTGTGACTACAATTATAAAATACATTTCCCTCAGGCTACAGATTATGCCCTCTCCTTGCCTTTTATCACTTTCTAATCCTGTCTCCCTTTCCTATCATAAATTAACCAGGCAGTATCTAAATTCAAAGAAGCTTTTAATTTTATAAATATGTTGTATGTATGGTAATATCTGATCATAAATGAATGAAATTCAGAAGTCACTGTTGTTATAAATGTTTGGTACTCATGTTTACTCTGGAGCTGTTTTGAGCTTGAGACTGTGCAGTATTGGCAGAAAGTTCTTGTTAGTTCAATTACAAAAGATTTCAAAAGAGCTCATGCTAGATGCTTAGAACGAGACTTTGTTGTACTTATAGAGTATAATACTCCAGATTTCTACTCATCAAATCATAGAAGGAAGCTTATCTGTGTTCATTTACCCTATATTCATACATACTGAGTCGCTGTCGGCTTCTGACTGAACCTTTCCGTCCATTGGGAACTCATAACCACCCAAAGCGGCCTTACACTTACTTCCTCCTGCCTTACACTTCTGCCTGATAGCATGTCCTTTGTCATGATACAGCCAAATCTTCCTCGCTGGGACTGCCGTCTGTTATTCCTATTTTTACCCCATTAGGGCTACTTGGCTAGCCTGGCCGTACGGCCCAAAGGCGTTTTCTCTTCCCCTAAAGCCTTTATTAGTTTTTCTTGTTTCAAGGTTTTAGGTCTCTTCACCATTCTTTGACTTGCTCTGAGATGGGTATTCACAGCTCTGAACTAAGAACAATACAGAGCGCAATAGGAGGTGTTGGAAATAGAAGGCGAAGAGCTCTGTGACCAGCGGGCAAGACTTGGGATGCAGAATAGCTGGATCTTTGTTGTTTTTTTTTCTCTGTCACATTTTATTATTTTTTTTACAATTCTATGATACATCATCCCTATATTGCATTGTGTGTTTACCACCCAAAGTCAAATCTCCTTCCATCATCATATATCTGACTGCCTTTACCCTTTACTACCCCTTCCCCCCGCTTTCCCCCTTGTAACCACCATACTGTTGTCCTGTCCATGAGTTTTTGTTTGTTTTTCTTGTTTGTTCATTTGTTGTTCATATTGAGTTCCTAGGTACTCTGTGGAAGACTGGTGGTCCCTCTACTGGAGGAAGCAGATAAAGAATAAATGAATATCTCACTTAATGTCAGGTTGTGTTGAGAGTTATGAAGAAGTAGGAAAGAAGGGTAAAAAGAGGAGGAAAAACGTGATTTTGTTTAGGTGATCAGAGGAGGCCCCTCTGAGAAAGTAACATTGAATTAGATCCCTGAAAGAAATAGGGAAATGAACCACCTGGGTGAGAATTCATTTATTCAACAAATGCTTATTTAGTTCCTATTTATTGAACATGATGCCAGGCACTGTTCAGGAGTTAAGGATATAATTTTTGTGGGGAGGGGGGCACCAGACGAAACTCCCTACCCATGTGCAGCTTATTTTCTAGTAGGGAGATGATGATTGGGGGGAAAAAAGTTTTAGTTGAGGGAACGTGCAAAGACCCTGAGGTGGGACTGTAATTGGCATATTACAGGAACAGCAAAGAGGCCAGTATAATTGGAATGAAGTAAGCAAGAGGGTCAGTGATAGATGAAACTGGAGAAGTAGCCAGAGCCTAGATCATGTAGAGCCTTTGGATTTTACTCTAAGGAAGGCAGGAAGCCATTGAAGAGCTTTAAGCAGAATTGACATGGTCTGACTTAATTATTTGAAAGAGAATTATTTTGGCTGCAGTGTGTAACAGAGAGATGGGGTAGGTTGTACCAAAGAGATCATGGAGGAAGTGTGAGACATCGTCAGATTCTGGACCCATCAAGGTTTGTTGGATTTTAGGTGGGGTCTGATACTGAGAGGAGTCAAGGATGACAGCTAACTTTTGGAGATGGAGGTGCTGGTGTTGGAAATGGGTAAGACTTCTAGAAGGAAATATCTGAGGAGGAATCTAGAGTTCCCTTTCAGATATGTTACATGCACTGAAGGTGAGAATGAGGTCGGGGCCAGTATATACATTTTGGGCTATTGGTATGTGGAGGGCGTTTAAAACTGTGAGTGTGGGTGAACTCAGCTAGGGAGTAGAATGCAAGAGGGAAGTCAGGACTGAACTGTAAGACTGCTCGGTATTCAAAGGTCAGGGGAGGAGGGCAGACTAGCAGAGGAGTCTGAGAAGTGGCCAGTGGTATAGGAGGAAAACCAGGAGGGCATGGAGTTCTGGGGACTAAGCGAAGCAAGTTTTTTCAAGATCAGCCTTGTAAACTGCTGCAGATCCGTTAAAGAACATGGGTATTCAGGATAGACTATTGGATTTCGCCATAAGGAGACCATTGGGAACCTGGACAACTATTTCTTTGGAGTGGGGCAGACGAAAGCCTGATTGGAATGGGCTTGAAAGAGGTCAAGAGGAGAGGGAAATGAAGAGTCTTACCACCCTCATTGTTATCATCATCTCTGTCAATTAAATGAATCAAGGGCCTGCTAATGCCAGGAGGCATGTGAAGGCCTTGAGTTACAAAGGTGATGAAATCTCCCCACCCTTTGCAAGCTCACAGTGAGGCAGGGATAACAGACTCAGTGTTCTTTATGCCACATACAGAAGGCTGTATGTATGTCAATAACATTAACACAGATAAGAGACTCATTCTTCTTGGGAGACTGAGAACATTATAGAAAGGGGGTGAATGTGAGCTCAGAGTTAAAAAATGAGGGAGAGAGAGCCAGGCTGACAGGGGGAAGAAAGCTGGTAAAACAGAGGAGTGTCAGTAGGACAGGTATAGCAAGTAGGGCAGTGTGGCTAGACCAGAGGGACATAGAAGATTACCTTGAAATGAGGCTGGCAAGGTAGCTGGTGTCATTTGTAAAGGAGTAATATCATGGTACAAGTTAGGCTTTCTCCTGTACAGAACGGATAGTCATTTGGGACTTTTAAACTAGGGAGTGGTGTGATCATGTCTTCATTTTAGAAAGATCACCTGTGTATTGTAGAAAAACAAGCCAGTTAAACCTGTGGAAAGCGGAGTAGAATCCAGGTGAGTGAGAGGGAGAGGTCTCTGTTAGGGGACTTTAGAATCGTTCAGTTAAGAGTGCTGTGGTCTTGGTCCTGGTGAAGTAGTGACATGAGGAGGAAACAAACAAGAGAGGTGTCTTTTTAGGCCTGATGGAAGTGAGCGCGGGAAGGGGGGTCAGGAAGGACCCCAGGGTTCCGCCCTCGGGGGTCTGGAAGGCGGTAAGCATCCACCAGAATCAAGTTAAATACCACAGGCAACTGGTTCATACCAAACAGTTATGTAATTTTGTGATTTTTTGTTTTCCTTTTTCGTAGAAGGAAATAAATAATGAAACTGCAGCACTGAGTCATTTAACTCTCCTGGTACTCCTATCTCAGTCCTCCCTAGAGAAAGCGGAGTTGTTCCCAACTAACTTTCAGGTGCTAATTGAGGAATTAGAAATGGAAGAAAGACAATATATTTAGTAGAAGATAGGATATAAAAAAGAACTGAAGAAGAATACGACCATTTTCTAACTTGAAAGGATTTACAATGTTCTGTTTTCCTAAATTTATAAACTAGAGTTACACTCCCAGAGTCCTTTGCATTTGATGTCCCTTTTATTCATAAGGAGAATGTTGGTGATTTGTGACTGTGTAACTGATGTAAAAAGTAATCTAGATTTCCATTTCTACTTCAGATTTTTTGTGTGTCTAATTTTTGTGCTATAATTTTCTTTGAGTATCTTTTAAAGCTCAACCCACCCTGCTTTTGGGGCAGCCCTTTTATTCCCATTAACCATCTTCCTTCTCATAAAAAATTTGTCCTGGCCCAGGCCAATGTGGCTCAGTTGGTTGAGTGTCATTCCATGCACCGAAAGGTTGCCAGTTCAGTTCCGGTCAGGGCTCATGCATCTCACTACTGTCTCTATGAAACATCTCTCAATTCTTAAAGATTCTTGTGTTGGCCAACTTTAGGTCATGCACAGAGAATAGCATATAGAGTTGGATCATTTTCACCTAGTATAAGAAGGAAAGTTCCAGCAGTTAGAAAATATAAAAGGGCAGGGTGGGCAGAGGGCAGGAGTGGAGAACAGGAACTAAATGTAATTAATGCATACTTAAGATTGTTTTAATTATAGTTCCAGTTTGGTAAAATCACATGGTTTATTACTATTAGATTTGCTATTTCAGACTGCGTGTGTGTGTGTGTTGTATTTTCAGGAAGTTTCAGCTGATCCTACTGCCACGCTCACAGCAACAGAAGAGAGAAAGGAGAAGGTTCCGAGCCCACACCTCAGTCACCTAGTGGTTTTGACCTCGGGGGATACATTGTATGGGTTGGCAGAAAGAGTGGTAGCCACAGAATCCTTGTAAGTTGTTAATAACAGTTGCTTTACCATTGACTCCTTTTTTTTTAATCCTCACTTGAGGATATTTTTTCCATTGCTTTTCAGAGAGAGTGGAAAGGGAGGGGGGAGAGAGACAGAGAGAGAGAGAAACACATCGATTGGCTGCCCCACTCATGCGCTACCAGGGCCGGGGATCGATCCTGCAACCGAGGTACATGCCCTGGGCCAGAATCAAACCCAGGACCCTTCAGTTTACAGGCCAGCCCTCTAACCACTGAGCCAAACCAGCTAGGGCACCATTGACTCTTTAAGAAACGTTATTAAAGTAACTTTATTACTTTATATATAAGCATTGTATAATTAGACTTCTAGCTATATACATCTTCCTCTTCTAGATATCACTTGTATATTCCTGAGAAGTATATCCTAAAATAGATTACCATTGGATTTTTACAACTGCATGGTTGGTTTTCAATTACATAAATGGGAGGAGGGAAATCTTTTAAATTTCCATCTTTAGCAACGTGATCCTTGCTTTAAGTAAAACTTTAAAAAATCATGGTCTCGCGTACTTTCTATTTTCCTATTGAAATTGTGATTCCAGAGAAATTGTAATTACATTGTCAGTTCATTGTTAAATGTAGTTGGCCCTTGACATCAGCAAAGGTGTTCCTGACCTTTATAAATCCCCCAATTTTTAATACAACTTAAGCATATGACATCTTCCATAAAATGTAGTCAATTATAACTTAAGAATTTTTGCTACATAACAAAAAATAGAGAAAAACAGTGCAACTGCTGGCTGTCTTGCAGCCTCCTGACCTGAGTTCACATGTGTGTCTCAGCCACGTCAGTGTGTTGTATGTTACGAATGTTTGGGTAACTTCTGAAAGTGCCAGATGTTAAATCTGTGAAATCACAGGTTTGTTATATATAATGAATGGGATCTTTAAGAGAAATCCTTTCAAATCTTCAATGTTTTGTGATATCGGTGCTCATATCTTAACATGCAAAGCTCCTCTGAAGTCACGCTCCTTCCACCTCAGCTCCCATTCAGTGATAAGCTCAGCTTTAATTTTTGTGTAGAATGTAAATGAGCATGCCAAGAGGTAGTTCAGTAAAGTGGAAAATCATTTTAATTGTTAAACTTGCTTAGAGATCTTAAAGATCACTTATACAGAAATACTGGCGGGCTGTGATTCCTGTGCTTTGTTCACAAGGTGGGTTATTTATTCCTTTAGGGTATTCTTGGCCGAACAATTTGAGTTCCTTCAGCCGCATCTGGATGCGGTGATGCCTGCGGTGAAAAAGCCCTTTCTTCAGCAGTTTTATTCTCAGGTCAGCGATGGTCTCTCTTGTGCGTCATTTCAACTGGGAGCAAGATAAGACTGCCACACGTTATTTAGGGTTTTTGTTTTGTTTTGTTTTGTTTTGTTTTACTGGTGAGCAGTCTCCAAATCCCAGGAGATCTGGATTAGAATATGTGTTTATTCACCCCTGAATTCCTGTATTAAACACTTATTGGGCACCTCATATAACTTTTAGTCTGGTGAGAGAGAAAGCCAATTTATTTGAAGTATAAAAAGGGAAAAGAAACAGTGCCAGGGCATTTAACCTTGACTGCAGGAGGACAGGGGTGTGATTGGAAGCAGGTTGTCTAGAAGGGCTGTCTGGAGGAAGTGATGTTTAAACCTGACCAGCCAGGCGAGTGGGAAATATATTCCAAATTAGAAGAGTGACTTATACAAAGAGCAGCAGGTGAGGGAGACCATGGTACATGTGAGCAGCTGAGGATAACTACTGTCCAGAGCAGGAAGGAGGGCTGGTGATGAGAAAGGTGACAGAGTGGTAAGCAGGAGCCACACCATGTACAGGGCTCCTCCAGGAGTTGGACTTTATTCCAAGGGTACTGGGAAGCTATGGGAGGATTTGAACCAGGTGAGTGGCATGGGCAGGTGTGTGTTTCAGAAAGTGTACCCTGGAGGCAGTGTGAAGAATGGACCTTAGATGGCAAGCCTAGAGGCATGGAGACCGGCTTGAGGGCTGCTACAGAAATATAGTCAAGAGGTGATGGAATCTTGAGGTGGGGTAGTGGGAGTCAAAATGGAGAGAAGTGAGAGAATTTGAGAAGTATTTGCTACTCCATGAAAATTTATAACTCTTTTAGAGTTGCAGTGTCCATGTCCTCAAGTTCATTGAGTGTCTCAAAGTTATATTTTGAGTAAGACCTTTGCCCGTGAATTATTAAAATATTTTATAATATAAATCTCCAAATGAATAATGTTTTATATTCAAATATGATGTGTACTAGAAATAGAAGCAAAATAGTCTTTATAAATTTGATACTTTTAGGAAACATTTGTTTTCATTTCTGTGAAATTTACTTCAGACAGTCTCAACTGCCAGTGAACTACGCAAACCAATTTACTGGATTGTAGCTGGTAAAGCCATTGATTATGAGCAGATGCTGCTCCTGATGGCTAACGTGAAATGGGATGTAAAGGAGATTATGTCCCAGCACAACATCTACGTGGATGCATTGTTAAAGGCAAGTACTTTGTTAAAGATGATTCTGTTCAGAGGACTGCTCCGATAATTGCAGTCGTTCTGAAGTAGTGAGATTGTAGTTATTGTATTACCACATTTCTAGCATCGTGGTGTTCAAGTCCCTGAATTGGATTAGGCTTATTTTCTGAATCAGTCGATGAACTTACTTTTATGATGAAATGTAATGTATGTACTCTATATTACAGCATAATTTAAACAGTATGAAGGGTTATTGTAAGTATATAAAATTGAATACATTTGGAATTTTTTCTTTTGGTTTCACTTGATTTGATTCTGAGTCTTTCTAAATCTTTTTTGTCACTGTAATGGGAAAACATGACATTATAATTATATTCACGTACAGCCATGACTTTTGTCTTCTTAGGAATTCGAGCAGTTTAACAGGAGATTAAATGAGGTTTCTAAGAGAGTTCGGATACCCTTGCCCGTGTCTAATATACTTTGGGAACATTGTATACGACTGGCTAATAGAACTATTGTGGAAGGGTAAGTTCTTCATGAAAGTGTTATCTGACTCTTCAATGATAAATCATAATTTACAAATAACATTATATGTTATCGCTAATAGATGGAGAGATCGGTAGAGATAGTGATACATAGTAGTTTATTCCATAATAATTTAGATTTGACTTTGGAACATAATTAGAGAAGAAACCTTAAACCTCACTGTGCCACCTCTGGCTGGTGACCTAGAACAAACTCATGAAAGAGTGAGGAATGCAGCAGCTAATGGTTCTCTGAAAGTTAAACTAGTAGTGATTATTACCTAGTAATGTAATTATGATGATGATGATGATTCATGGTATTTATTGAGCACTGTGTCGTTTACAGAACCAGGGACTTCACAGGATTATATCATGAAATCCTAACCTCTCTTTGCTAGTACTATTACTTTCTCTGTTACATCATTGAGAAAACCTAGCAAATCGAGGCTTAAAGAGGTTACATAACTTGTCCAAGTTCACAGTTTTTATTTTATTTATTTGTTTATTTATTTAGATTATTTCCATTTTATTTTTTTCAGTTACAGTCAACAGTTAATATTATATTAGTTTCAAGTGTACAGCATAGTGGTTAGACATTTATATAACTTACAAAATGATTCCTCTGACAAGTTCACAGTTTTTAAATACAGAGAAAGCTTATGAACTCCTGATTTTCTGATGGCAAAGTCAGTCCTCATAGCCACTATATCACTGTTAATAATATCATTATTATGTCACTGTAAACTGTGTAACTTTCAGATGTTGACTTTAAAGATCTATCGGTAGTAATTTGCTACTTACTCAGAGACCGTGCTTACTCTGCCCGTAACATCTAGAACACAAAATAAGAGTCAGTAATACATTTAAACATCCCTGAAAGCAAACTGCTTTTTCAAAGCCCATTCAGAGAGATCTACAATTGCACATCAATTGAATTTTCACACTATCATTTATCTGATTTCTCTTCAGTTCTTATTAGTTACAAAAAAAGGGTGTATTAGAAAGTGGGAAGGTATTGGCAACAAGCTGATGACAGTCCTGGCACTAGCAGTGCTATGAATCACAAAGAGGCTCTGTGTCCACAATCCTGGCTGAAAGTATTTTTAATAAATTTGTTTAGTAAGGTAGAAAACTGAATAACAAATGTTATATTACTGTATAAACACTTGATATTAAAAAAACAAAACAAAAAACACTTGGTCTCTTTAAATAATGTAAGCTTTAGTTTTCTTGCAGATTTCCTTAGGGGAAGTACCTCATTCCCTAGGGTTGTAATTTCCATGTTTTGTACGATTGAAAGAATGAGGCATTAGCTTATCAGTAGTAAAATGTATGTGAGGATTAATATATTTATTATTATTACTATTCAACCTTAGAACACACAGTTTTTCAGTAATGTGGGTGTCAGAATAACACTGTTAAGTGCTTTATTATAAAAAATATGTATGTGCTTTCTGTGCTTATATGCTCGTACATTTTTCAGGTTTGCTGAGTGTTCATGGGAGAATTATTTCATTTGCTTTCTCTGTATCAAGATGTTGCAATATTGAACAGTTTTATGAAACTAAAATTACTTTGGAGTCTTCATAACTTTGTTTTAGAAATAATCTTTGGAGGCAGGATTAACTGGAATACCAGTTTAACTTCCTGGTAGGTGATTATGTTAATTGAGCCTAGAGAACAGCATGTAGAGCAGCAAAGAACCTTCGAAGCTGCTCAGTCTCTTTGCTTGGCAAATGAGGAAACTGACGCCCAGATATATACAGTGACTGCTGAGTGACAGGGCCTGAACCAAGCCAGTCCTTCTGACTCAAGGCTCATGTGCGTTTTTCCTTGTAAATGGAGAATTTGTCCAGTTTTGGATTAGAGAAGAGTCTTTTTCTAACCATCCCATCATTTATGTTTTTTATTATTGTATATCTTAGATATGCCAACGTCAAGAAGTGTAGTAATGAGGGTCGTGCCTTGATGCAATTGGATTTTCAACAGTTTTTAATGAAACTTGAAAAACTAACAGATATTAGACCCATTCCTGATAAAGAATTTGTGGAAACCTATATTAAAGCCTACTACCTTACCGAGAATGACATGGAGCGCTGGATCAAAGAGCACAGGGTGAGAGCTGGGAAACAGTTAATTAAGTTTTTATTCCTTTTCCTTTCTTCTGTTCTTGTCTAGCACATTATATAATTCAGTCATGAGAGCAAAACATGAAGAAACATTTGCTTTTTTAGCATGAACTACTTAGGCCATTTCTTTACCATATTCACACAGTGTCTGTGCAATGCCCTTTGCATAATCATATCTTTTTGAGACCTTCGTGAACCGTAACAGTAATTATCTAGAAATACCCAGAGTCTAAACGTTAGCTCTATTTATTATCCTCCAGCTGTTGTAGGAACAGGCTGAAGTTGGTTAACGTCAAGACAAACGGAATACAGCGACATTGAAATGATTCACAAGCTACAGTCTGTTACGTAACACAAACCTTCTTGTAGCCCTCAACAGTGAATGAGTTAGTGACACCCTGAACACACTGACATGTAGTAGTGACAGCTGAATATATTAATATTATTCCTCCATTAGCTTTTACCTTAAGTATAGATGAGATTATTTTTCTTTTGTTTGGATGCATAGATAAGTAGAGAAAAATACAATTTATGAAGTGTTATTTAGGATGCTGAATTCTTGATACAGTTCAAATCAACATATCACTAGAGCATGCTTAATATGGGAGCTTTCCTGTATGATTGTTGTAGCATTTGTCCAGCTAGGCAATATGTGAAGACAAATTTAATGAAAGTATGGGAAGTGTTAAAATTACACCAAATCTCCCTCCCCCCCAATAACTGTACTGTTCACATTTATTTATGCTGTAAACATCATCAGTAAAGGCTAGATAAATTTTCATTTCTTTTGACTGGGTAAGGACATAAGGAATTACTTATATTTACTTTATCAGGTTCATCCTTTCTGGTTTCAGCATTCTAGAAATGTGAAGTGGCTGTTAGCCTGGGCCATTAGCCTGAGTTTTTTGTCTCTGTGCCCACTTGTAGGTTAGTTTCAGATCTCTGAGAGCAGAGTAGAAATAGACATGCTATTTTCCAGGGTTTCAAAAGTGAGAAAAATATCCCCACTTTTAGTCCCACTTACCTCTGACATTGGTGAACCAAAATGCTAAGCCAGGTGCAGATGGATGCTGAATGTTGCCAGGGTCCATTAGTAAAGTAAAGTAAGCTGTAAACATTGCGGGGGTGGTTCTGAGGGAGTTTGGGCGAAGATCACAAGTAGCTGAGGAGAAAAGGCACAGCTCTCAGGGATCCATTATTTGATGCCCATTTTTTGTTTTCCTCTTAGTATAGTGGACTAAGAATGTTAGTGTTTTGGAAGAACTTTAACTAACTAGTATTTGTAATTCAGTGAAAATTCCCAGCAACAGGGGCTATCCCGTCTCAAGGGAACCGATTCCACAATGTCTAGTCTGGTGCTTGATGACAGTTGTACACTCTGAGTGTTGACTGATTAAGAGAAATTACCAGGTGTTCACAGGTGTTCTTGGAGGTCATATACACAAACTGAGTAGTTTGCCGAGTTTTTAAAATGAACTATCTTGAGTGGTTACCTCCAGTGAAGATATGTTCTTTTCTTACTAGATGATAGACAGGACCCTCTCTCCCTGTCAGAACTATTCTATTCTACCTTCAGAACCCCATCAATATGTAAAACTTTCTTATGAGTCCTATTCTTTCTCATCTTAGCAACTCATCTGAAATTAAGAAACCAAGTAGATTTGTACAGCAGAAAATACGCATGATCTTAATTTTACTTACTAGCTACCAATTACAACATGAGGGTTTAAAAAAACGGTAACTTTCTGATCTTTGTTACCTTACTCATTTCTTCTATCTGAGAAGAGTTCTTCTGTGATTGGAGATTTTTGCCTTTTACATACAGTGTTTGCATAATGTGGAGTGCTGGAAAATACTTATGTAGTAGCATTTTAAAAATTTGAAATGTCAGTGTATCTGATAATAACAAAGACTGTCACAGAAACCAGCATAAAGTTGTTGTGTCCTTAAACATTAACAAAAAGCATAGGCACGTCAGATTATCTGCCACATTAAAGAGTTTCTAGTCCTCCCTGTTCAAATGTACACTATGGTCCCCTCATTTCCTATTATTACAGCTCAGTGAATTCTTTGTCTCTCAGGTCTCAACTGTACTTTCCACTGGTTTGCAGTGCTCAGTAACTGTCCACTGAGACCTGAGCATCCGCCCTTCCTTTGGTCGATCTCTGTACTAAATTTGATCTCCTTTTTTGAGCAGGAGTACTCAACGAAGCAGCTGACCAATCTGGTTAATGTTTGCCTGGGATCCCATATCAATAAAAAAGCAAGACAGAAACTTCTAGCAGCTATAGATGATATAGACAGACCTAAAAGATAATGAACACAGTTCTCTTTCCTCAATGCCGTTGATCTTCTCTCAACACGTATGGCATGGAAGCCAACTTTCCATGCCCTCCTGACAACCGTCTGCTGAGAATACCTTGTGCATGTCCTTTCCAACTGGAAAGCGGAAAACACTGAAGTTTGTGTGTTTCTGAAATGACTTTTATATGCTCTGATCTCTTCTTTTCAACTTTCAGTCTCATTGTTTGCATTCCTTTCCTGAAATGATGTTATTGCCTTGTTATAACTATTGTTATATGATTATCATTACACATTTTACAGAAGAATGGACTGTAAGTAAATAATTATAGGAACTGTGACAACCTAGCCATAGGCAGTTTTCAGAGAATGAATTTATGTTGACATTTTTCTACCCTCTGACTTGGTTCTTAATAAGCATAATATTAGAGGGTTAATGTACAGTATCTCCTAATTATGAGCACTGCACGAGAACTGAGAAGTACATGTAAGCAAAATAGTTGAGAAATAAGTATGTTCTCTGTGTTTTCAAATGTGAGTTTGTCAGGTTTAAATTGGTTGTAATACAGTGATCATACATGGTGAAATTTAATAAATGGTACACTCCAACATGACCAGCCAGTGTGAGACTATATTTTGATATTTTTCCACAGCAGGCAGATTTCATGAATGTACAACGGATTTTCTTTGCATGCTCTAACTTTAGTCATCTTATGTCCTGAAACCAATGGTGAAAAGTGATTTCACTAGATATAACTTTTCAGTACCTGAACAGCACACAGAATGGTGATTATGGGATTAAAAAAAAAGTGACTTTTTTTATATCCACTTTGTTCTCTTGGAATTTAACTTTTGTCTTAGGGCAGCAAAACCTGACTTAGCTGAGTCATGGAAAGAACTGTCTGTTGGTTAAACAGCATAAGTATAGGGTCATATGTTCACCTTTCTTAAATATCTACTGTGTGTGGCACATGTAAGATAATGTGAGTTTAGCCAGTGATAAACATTGGGACTCAGTTGGGAACTGTGTACTGTTCCTCTAAACTTTGCTTTGAAGTTAGGAGTTTTCTACCAACATACGGGGGGGGGGGG